CTGACTTTAAATAAATATGTTATATTTGGTTTGAACTAAATATGTTATATTAAGCAAGACCAGTCCTAGGCCAAATCTCGAGAGGATTCCTTGCCTTCCTTCCGTGTGACCCTCTCTACCTTTTATTTAGGTGGCAGTCAAAGCGGTCATTCCCCCAGACACCAGAAGGTGAGTTGGTTTCATGCTCTGCCTCTCCCAGGGGTCTTGAATTATAAAGGAGTGCCTCTGAGGTGGAATCCATGGGAATTCATCTTTCCTGGTGACATTTCAGGTAGAGTAGTGGGTGGGGAAAATATTACCAGGTGGGGACCATCCCAACATTCCTTGTGTGCACACGTGATTACACGCCCGTCTTCTCTAGGTGAGTATTAAGCCAAATGATGCATGTTGTTCAATTTTACTCTAAAGGTATTCATTGGAAGCCTGCCCACTAACCACACAAGGCACATTGTTAGGCTCTTGTCATATAATCCTCATGACAATGAGCAGGACAGGTGGGTTTTACAGAGAAGGAAACTGAGGCTCAGAGAAGACAGCTCACCTAAGCAAGTCACATGGGCTAAAGGGCAGGGAGGGAATCAGGATTCCTGGAAGAGAACGTGGTCACCTCCCTCAAGATGACTGCTGTCTGTCTAAGAACAGGGCTCAACCTAGAAACACATCGCAATAGCAGAGGGGGTTGATGCAGTATAGGGACATGTTGCAGGGAGAAATTAATTCCCAAGAGCACCAAGGACTTCTTGGAAGAGGAAGCTTTTGACTAGGGCCTTGGAGAAAGAGCAAAGCTTCCACGGATAGAGATGAAGAGAAAGGTATCCCGGGCAAAGTCTGGCATAAGGAAAGGCTGGCATCAGGAAAGTGCAGGGCACAGCCAGACTCCAAAACAGGTGTGTCTTTCATACAAATGATATATAAGGGTTATGGTTTGGGCCCTTATCCCCCTCCCCTCCAATTTCGTTTTTGTCTTTTTGCTTATTCATGCCAAGAATGTACATTTGTATAGAGCTTAACTTGAACCCTCTTATAAGTAGGATTTCATTAGCTCCTCTAAACAGCCCTGAAAGGTAGTTAGGGTAGGTGGATATTGCTACCATTTTGCAGAGCTTATACAACTGACACCAAAAGATTTCAAATAAATGCCTATTGAATGAATGAATGAATGAATGAATGAGTTGCCCAAGGCCACCAGCACTAAATGGGAAAATAGGGACTAAACGTCATTCTGCTGCCTTCAAATCCCAAACTCTTTTCACTACCGTTCATATCTGTGGGACTTAGCAGTGCCATTGTGTGTGCGTATTGGGGGTGGGGAATTAGACTCATTATTGTGTTTTATAATGTGCTGATCATCTGAAAAAACTCTGGGCAGGAGAACAATACAAGCATTCATTGAAATACTTCAATAGACTGACAGCAGCAACAATAACCTAAAATTAAATGAAGCAGAGTATCTCATGTGAGTCTTCTCTTGAGGAGTCTGGTGCAAAGGCACCAGGCCTTGGGGAAATAGACTGGGACTCCCTAGGAGAAAGACAAAGCAGAGATTTACAGAACCTGGTTGGGGGCTGGGGACAGCAGACTAGGAGGGCCCCCACCAGCCAGGCGACAAACCCCCAGGACCACAGACCTCTGGGTAGCTTTCAAAGGCTCCACAATTCATGAGTAGCTGTCATTTACTGGTAACCACGAGTAAGCACCAGCCTAGAAGGGACCTCAGAGATCACTACCGTATTTTAAACAGTC